GCCCGTTACGCCGCGGCCCGCTCTGGCGCCAACGCCGCTGTCTGCTCCGCTTCGCTACCACTCCGTTCGAACCTATTCCGAGCCCGGCCGCGCGGATGCCGAGCACGCCTGTTGGGGAGGACAGTGGTGGGCGTGTTCAATCGAAATGGATCGCTGTCGCTGATAACGTGCCATGGCGGCCACTGCCCCTCGTCGCTTGTGGTATAGGTGTCAGCAGGTAGCGTACGTCCACAAAGGAAAGAGGGAAGAGGGCAAGGAGGGGGGAGGAGGGAGGCACTGTGCCTTTTGGTTGTGGCAAGACTGATATAGTTGTGCTAACCACGAAAACTGCAATCACGCCCAATTCCGTGTTTGGTATAGTTATATGAGTGTATGCCCTTTGTGGTGGTCGCTACTGTGCCATACGACACTTCCCAGAGCTTCCTTTTTTTCTTGGTGTAATGTTTGTCTTTTTCACTGCTTGTTTCCGTGAATGCCGCACTGCGACCTTCTCTCCAGCTTTGGCGCTTAGTCGGACATCAACGCCGAAAAGGCGTAGTTTTTTGTCTTGTTTGTTTGTGTGTTTGTTGGAAAATCCGGAACTTGGGATAAAAACAGTGGTGTGGCACGCGTCATTGGAAGCGCGCTGTATACATTGTGTGGGTGCGTCTGTGTGTCTGATACTGAAACGCTGATGGACGCTAAACGGTAAGCGTCGGTAGCGTGACGGCGCGTCATGCTCACCGCTAATGATGGCCAGCCCCCTCCCCTCTCCCCCAACCCTACCCCCGGCCCGCTCACCCTCGTGCTCTGCGCGAAGTCCACGACGCGAGCCTGGTCCAGCTGCACCCAGGCGCCCGGAGCCAGGTCGGCGCGGCCGGACACGAGCGCGCCCAGGACGCCGCCGCGCCAGGAGCCCCTGCCGTCGGGCCGGCCCCACCGCTCGCTCTCGGCCAGCCGCACCAGCGACAGCGTGAAGTTGAGGTGCTCCGCGAGCATCCGCAGCACGTGGCCTTCCATCCCGGACATGCTCTCTGCGGCAGACGGGCGCCATTGCGGGACATGATCATGGCGGACCTCCCGGTGAGAGCAGACAAAGGAGTGTTCCGGACCGGGATCGCTGGGGTCGTCGATGTACAAGAGCGGAGGCTGGTGGAAGGCGGCGACCCGCAGCATCCGACCCTGGAAGTCGACTCTCCGGGTCGCACGCTCGTCGCCGTCGTGCTCGCGCAGCCACACCCGCGGTGGCGCCAGGTAGGCGTCGCTGAGACGCCAGCGGCGCCCCGAGGCCAGCGACACCAGGGCGGCGCTGCAGGCAATGGCCTTAAGGCAACAACGTGGTACTTGGTCCAAGAACTCAGTCTTTTGAGTGTGGGCGCTAGGCTCACCTGCTCGGGAAAAGCGCTGTCCTCGGCGAGGGCCTCGGTGAGCGCCACGAGCACGGCGAAGTCCGCCCTAGCCGCGACACGACCCAGCACCGCGGCCGGGTAGCTCCGGGCCAGCAGCACCGCCGCGCTGCACGGCCACTCCGACGACTGCCGGCCGAATCTGGAACGGGCGCCCGTGATGAGCTAGGGGCGGACACGGACGCACCTCAGCGCCATATCCACGCAGACCCACCCCTGGACGCCGAGAAGGACGACCGGGAGCGACAGCCGCCGCAGAAGCGCGGCGACAGGCACGGTCCGTGGGGTGGCATCCTCAACGTCGTCCACGAGCACGACAGCTACGCAGCTGTGGCGCGGCTCGAATGTCAGAGCGGCGGCTTGAGAAAAGATCTCCGCCGCAGACAACGAGGACTCGGCCTGCTCCACCCGTTCCAGCCGTCGCCTCAGACAAGAGCGGCCAGCCGCCGGTGAAGTGGTCAGCAGCGCCGCGACCAGCACCTGCAGACGGAAAAAGATACCTTCGCGATCACAGTTTTCACACGAAATAACTCACCTGGAAGCTGATAATTACGTAGTAATAGGGTATTCCGCTAAAACACAATCAGAATTCTGATTTTGATTCTGAATTTGATTGAATTTGATTCAGAATTCTGATTCTGGTTAACCTAAAGAAGAAAAGCATGACTACCCGATCTGCTTCCTCTTGAACGCGGATTGGTCAAAGATGGCGTGGCTGTGGCTGTCAGCCAATAAGCGCGCAGAGGGAAACAGATCGAGCAGTCATGCTTTTCTTCTTTAGGTTCCGGTTGGCTTGCAGTGAAATACCCTACAAAGCAGACCTGATTTGATTACAATTACGGATGTTCCAATTTTCATTTACCCCACACTGATCAAAATCTGACTGAGGACCCTGGATAGAAATCAAAACCTGGCAGGACCTGCCTGTAGGCTAGGTCCCGAAATCTGAACAGGACTGATGACCCTAGTGATAGGTTCTGAAAACGGCCACTCGCATTCCCACTATGTTGGAGGGAGGTGTGCACGTGCACGCCCTGACAGTTCAAGACGGCCCTCATCAGAACGATCAGGCTAGGAGCCGCGT